GTGACCATTAAGGGGCAGGATTGAAGGAAGAACTGCAGGAGGTCCCAAAAGGTGATAAGTGGTCAAGGAGACACCACTCCTTCCCAGGAAAACTCTGTCTGCACCTGAGAGACATCTCTGCCCTGAGGAAATGCAAAAAGGCTGTAAAAACCCAATCCCCAACCTGACCCATGGGATCCACTGGTTTCTGGGTCCCCCTGCATTCCCCAATATACAGTCTTTCTCTTCTCTTCTCCACAAATAAAATCTTTCCAACCTCTGCTGTTGGAGTCTGTCTGTGCTTTCATTCTCAGAGCAGGATCAAGAGCCCTGAGCACCTGAAATTCCTATGCGTGTCATCTGTACATCAAGCTCATTATGTGCACTTAGATTCTTCGGCATGCCTAAATCAAAATGTGTGTGTGTGTGTGTGTGTGTGTGTGTTTAGATGTCTTTAGAATGGGTCACAAACTGCCTTTACAAAGTCATTGTGCATGACTATTTCAAAAGTTATCTAAAGTTCTAATCCCAATCGGGGCTAATTATTCTCTGCCTTAAAACTAAAAAAATTTATAAACAATAATCTCAATATGTTTCATTTTAACATGAGTATAATTTACATTTAACTCTTTTTATAATTAGGCTTATTGAACTATGTGTTCTCATAGATTCTATTATTAAAAGATGGTTCAATTTAATTTTCTTCCTAAGTCTTTTAGGGTATAAGATTACTAAGAATTTTATTTAAAACACTGTTATCTAAATTTGGGTTTTTACAAAGATTATTTCAATATACAAATTAAGGTCTTAAAGCTTATAAATTTATAATTTAAAATTTGCCTAAAAGTTTTCTAAGATCAAAATTTAAGGTACCAAAGTGTATTTAAAAATTGGTTTCTGTTTTATCAAAATAACTACCAAGATCTTTTGGTGCTGTAGGCTGATACAGAATTTTACCAAAACCAAACAAAAGCTCACCTTTCAGATGTAATGATAAAACCTTAAGTTTTTAAGAGTCTACAAAAAGATAATTAATACTAAAATACCAACTTATGCACATCATTAACTCCCAATAACTAAGTCTGTCATTTTTGGGCTCCAGGGGCTACACAGGTAAACAACCCTGCTATCTGTCCCAAGTCATTCTGTTAGTTAACATCAACAGTCTGGGATGTAATCTCTTAACAACATCCAAGCCCCGACCCTTAGTCATTGGGTCTCCTAACTTTATGCTTAATCCCTTATCTCTGTTTCTGTATCTAATTATTTAAAACATTAATCTCAATTGGTTTATTAAAAATTATACATGTTCTCCCATTTTTCTCTGTTTATAAGCTGAGTACAACCACACGGCCTGATGTAAAAACTAACCACAAGAGATGGGTTTGTATCAGCCAAGCTTACCTTGGTGCAATTTAAATTTGATAGTTAATTTTGTACTGGTTGAACAAAAAGTTCATATTAAGATGTTTCCTTTGCAACAATCAACAGACTGTCTAACTACATATTGCTGTATTTTCATTTTACATGTTGTTTTGATATCAGCCTCTTTGCTCAGTGCATAATAGTTCTGATGTTTTAATAGTTGGGTCAATATTTCAGGATCAACATCCTATCTAAAAAAAAAAAAAAAAACCTTCATGCTGGGATGGAAAACACTGGCCCTTAGGGGAACTGTTGACTCACCAGACAGGGTACCCTGCCACTCACTTGCTTCACAGCTGTGTGACAGAAACAGGTTGGAGGCACTTGTGTTGGGGATTTCAGAAGGTTCAAGAAGGATGCTTTCAGAATCTAGAAAGTTCTCATTTTTCTCTCTCTGAAAGGGCAACTTTGCTCCTTTCCTTCTCCTTTCTTTCACTCTCTACCAGTTAGCCTAGGGAATTCCATTCAGAAGCTCTCATGCAGGGGTGGAGGGGTGAATGGATTCTCCCCTCCCCTTTTCCTCTCTCTCTCTTTCCACCAGCCAGCATAGCGGTAGCCAACATACTCACTTAGCTGTATCTTTCAATACTGGGAGATACTTTGATCCTGCTAACCAAAAATAAGATGACTAGTTCTATTCATAGGCCACTTAAGATTATTTACTACTCTTTACATCCTGCTTAAATTAGCCTCTTGTCAGACACAAAAACTCTAAGGTATTTTTCTGGTAACACTAAATAAACTGTTTAAACTAAGTAAAATTCTCTTAAATGGTTCTAATACTGCTAGTGCCTTATATAGGTAAAAGTGTATACATGTAAATAACTATAGTTCTTTTACCAAAAGTATAGTCTATCTAACAAAGTCTTTGACATTTCTTCTCTTTATGACAAATGCTAAAATTTCTACTATTTAGGCCTGACATCTGTCTGTCAGATAAACATCGGTTTATCTGACATTGGCTAGATACTGTTTTTCATATATAATATGCAATTGAGCATCAAAACAGGGGCTATTCAGAATTACTGACACTGCCTTCCCTTAGCCATTGTATAATTTAGGGTTTTTAATTGCCAGTACTGTATTGACAGTACTGACAACCACTAACTTGTTACTTTACCTAACCAAAATTCAAGGTGTAAATTGCAATCAACCATGGTTACTTTAAGTTTTTTCATTACAGTTCTGATCCTTCAAGAACATTCACAGGCAAGCCATGAAAAATGACTCTGACAAGTGCTTATCTATCAAGTAGGACAAACATTCGTTAAGTATTGGGGTCGTTTTGTATTTTCCTTGTAAAAACTTTATAACTGTTACCCGATAACACTTTACAACAATTTAAAGTTGTCAGTATACCCCCCTAGGGGACAAATGATTAGATTTAATTAAGCCCAGCCTGAGAGCCATTTTTTAATAAATCTCTTTCTTGCTTAATTTTGACAAAAAGGTCACATTGGCACTGACTTCTGATCTGTTTGATGTGTTACCCCTCTCCTCCATGGGACAAAATCTGCCTTTCTGGACTTTCCAGGAGAAGCCACTCCACAACAATGGACAGAACTGCCAAACTGGCAAAATCTTCAGAGACAACTCTTCAAAGAAACAGTTTAAGAGGACATGACCCCTGAGCAGTCAGTGTCCCCCAACTTCTCAAGAAAACAAAAGATGTTCAGCCACATGAGACAATTCAAAAGGACTACACAAATGAGGGAACTTCTTCAGATGCAAATGGAGACAACTATGCCAGACCTCTAAAAGTAACCAAAGCCAAGAGATTTTTTAAAGGGAGTTCTTATGCATGTACTCTAATATTTAAGCCTCTAGGCTTCTGGAAAAAGGCAAAGTCATGTCTTTGGCCAAGACTTCCTGGTTAAGCAAAGGCAATATAACTTTCAATGGTATCTAACTTCTGCTTAGGGACACTGTGAATCTTCTTTATGTATAGAATTGACTCGTTGATGTTTACTCTCTAGTTGGACTGATATTTGCCCGCTAGGACACCTGACCCCTAATGTAGTAAGCCTTTAACTGCCCACTATAACAATAGTCCAAAATATAGGGTCATCTAAGAGTTAAAAATAGCTAAATGTATAAACAACTATAGGTAAAGTAACCATAAGATTCTGTCACTTTTCAGAATTATTTCATCCTTCCTGCCACACCTGACAAGTCCCCTTCTGATGCTTCTATCATTGCTAAATGTCAAGGTTTTGCCTTCTAAGCCAAATTTATCTCTTCCAGAATAAAAGTCTTTAGGACCCAAATCGTGAGGTAACAAGGCTATTGATCTCTACAAACAAGGTCTCCATGAGCAACCCAGATCTCCATGAGAAACTTTAACTATGCTGGACAATAATTCAGACACCTTGTGTCCAAATGAGCCCCAAAGGAAAAAATAGGAGAAACAATTTCCCTTTATAGGTAGGGTCTGCTGCCCCTTGTCAGCTTGAAGCAGATACTGAAGATGGACTGCCTCCTTCAGCAACCCTCAAAAATTGTATCTCAGGGGTAATTTAGGGCAGGCTAGAAGTGGGAAAAGTTGGGGGCTCATGTAGGTTGCCTGGAGATGGCCCAGACCACCCTCACCAGGCTGGGGACTGCCCATGCCCCTCTCCACTTATTCATTATTGGGTGTGAATTTCCTGGGTCTGCTCTCCTGTGGGTTAGTGTGGGGTTTAAAAGCACCCAAAAAAAGAAAAGCATGTGCTCTGCCATCAGATTCCACTTGTGCCCCACCCTGCTCCCTTTGTATTTCCTTTCCTAACTTTTAATAAATTCCCTTTACACCCACATGTTCTGTTTGAATTCTTCCATTTGGAGCACAAGAACCAAGATCTTCTGAGAACAACAGTTGCCTATAACAGAAGCATCCACTGTCTCATAGATAAGGGCTATTGGGGTTCCAATATTACTACTCTTTCTGTGCACCTTCCAACTGGAGTGGTAACATTTTCCCACTGATGCTTGTCCTGAATAATTTACCATACCTTTTACTTCCCTTGTCCTGTCCTCACCCCTGAAAAAAGTCTATTCATTAAGCTTTCTCATTAACCTTTTGAATATGACACCTATTTCTTTCCAGATTCTTAGAAATTTAAGGAAGATATTCAAATGAAACTCTACAAGAGAATTTCCCTTGCCCTGCAACTACTCTGCCACTGCTCCAAGAAGACCAGAAACAGGAACTCCTCTTTCTGACCTCCCATGGCAGCCTCCAACTTGATGTTCATCTCTCTATTAATTTGTCTTCCTCCCTCTGCTTTCTATCCACACTTGTATATTGTGATAGGAACATTGGATAAAACTCCATATAAGTTGCTCAATAAGTGAGCAAAGTGGGTTCTCAAGTTGCCTGAGAAAAGCCTTTAGTTGAACTGTACTTCTAGGAGAAGCTCATAAGAATCTTGGTGCTGGATCAGAAAGCAGAATTAAGGAATGGAAAGTACAATCTATAAGAAACAACCTGGACATTGTGAGTTTTGCCTCTAGCCTCATAGAAATGGCAATTTATCCAGCACAGAACCACCTCCATGAAATATCCTTGCTCATCTCATTTGACCCTTGATGCACAGATGAAACCAAAGCATGCTTGCCTGCTGAAAAGGGCATGAAGTAGTCACTCTTCTTAAAGTTACCGCTTGCATCCAGAAAGTGATTGGGGTCAAACTTTTCTGGGTTGGGAAACGCTTTTTCATCATAAAGGACAGAAGTCAGAGATGTTACTATATTTGTACCCTGAAAGAAAGAGAAAACCCAAATAATAAAGGAGGTCATAGAACTTGAAAAAAAAATTACACATACATCAGCTTACCCTTTTGTAGACAAGGAGATTGAGCAAAGAAAAGAAGAATTTATTTACTTGGTGTCACAGAAAAAATCAATGGCCAAACCTAGCTTGTCTTAAGCAATAATGAGGCAGTCTAAAATTAGGGAAAGTTCAGGACTCATAGAAACTTAATATTGTATTTCAGATTAACCACCCTCTGGCTCAGAAGCCTCCCTCACCTGGCCAGGGAACTGCCTATGGCCCTCCCCACTCATTGATTTTTGGATGGCAATCTCCTGGTTCTTCCCTCCCCATAGGTTAGCATAGGTTTTAAAAGCACCTGGAGAAGAGAAACATGTTCTAACTCCAAATTCCACCTGAGCTCCACCATGCTTCCTTTTGTATTTTCCTTCCCTAACTTTTAATAAACTCCATTTATACATGCATGTCCTACTATGAATTCTTCCCCATGGGACACAAAGAATGTGGAAGTCTTATGATCACAGACTCCACTCCACCAATGACAATAACGTAAGGGCACAAATGTGAAGGGAAACAAAATGGCAGAAATGTCCCTAGGAACAAATGACAGAAATAACTCTGGGAATGTAAAGGGACAGATGGCAAAAGTAACTTTGTTTTAGATAAAGGAGATGGGAAGGCATACTTAAAAGCAAAACATTTAGGGAGATGTGAGAAACCAACTTTGCACACAGGTGCGGAGACAGCAGTTTTCTTGCTAGATAAGGGAAACGAGATAAAACATTCATCTAAAGAGATGAAATATAGACCCCCTAAAGGAGAGTAACACAGCAAACTTTCACAAGATAAAGGGCTGAAATAAAGACCCCTAAACGGAAAGTAACACAGCAAACATTACCAAGATAAACAAAAAAGGAGTCTCACCAGAACAGTGAGTGGTAGTCAAAAAATGTAGGTGACAAGCCTCAAGGATAGGATGGTCTAATGAGGACCTCTTGAAATGTCCAGTCTGATAAGGGTGGGAGGCAACTACATGGCCAGAAGTCAAGAAGACAGTCAATTATAGCCAAGTGGTCAAAGATAGAGTGGGGAGAGGTGCCTAAGTTAGCCTCTATATAATCTCTTGAACTTCAACCATCCTTTGGCTTAGTTCTTTCACTAAGTCCCACCCATCAGGGTGCTTTGCTATCCTTTCAATAAACTTTGTGCTTGCTTTGCTCTTAACTCCTGGTCTGTTGCTTGAACTTGCTGTAACTCCTAACTGCTGTCTGGTGCCTTCAATCATTTACTGAGCCAGGAAATAAACATGGGAACAACATCCAGTCTGGTATCAATATGAAACCCAGTCCTAGGCACTGTTCATTAATTGCAAAGCCTTGCTCACTAGATTGTAGTCTGACACCAGGACTTAATTTCCAGGAAACCAAAGAATATCCCTGGAGCTCATTGCTCTGGACAAATAAACCAAAGAATTGTCTAAGAGTGCCAGTACCAATGTCACTTAAAATCCAATTTATTCTCTTTAGAACCAAATAGGGAGCCTTTTTTAAAAAAAACTCCATGACTGAGTGGTCATGTTCTAGAAAATAAACAATTTCCTATCATGTTGAGAAACTGATAGAGAATCCCTCCTATTGCTACATTATTGCAAGTGAATTATAACAGATTCTGTGGAAAGAAGGGAGCATTTCCAACTTCTATGTTTTTTCTAAACCCAGAGGTGAGGTATACTACAAGGAGTTAAGAGTTCAGTTTTCAGAATCAATGGACTCTTCATCTCTATCAAATTAAGGGAAGATAAGTAACTTGTTTAGCATTTCAGTGTTTCATTTTCATCACTATGATAATGTAAACACACTTGCATTAGATTATTATAAATGCAAAATGAAATAATATAAGAAATACTTTTTTGGTGCTAAGGATTTAACCCAGGGACTTCAGCATATTAAGCACATGCTCTACTACCAAACCACAACTTCAATCAAAAGTATTTTTACACAGTGATTACCTCATGTTACTTTGCTCAGTGGAGAGTGGTTTGTACATTATAATGACAATGAAGATATTCACCATGTTTGAGGATTTACACCATGGTCATACCTTTACTGTTTGTCAGAGACAAATTTAAAATTCAGATCTGTCTGGATATTTGCTGAAACAATGGAAGGCCTCTCCAAGTATATGATCTAGGTCTCATTCCACAAAATCTATAGGTCAAATCCATAAACTCATTTCCATGTGGACAAATGAAAGAGAAACTGAAGTTTCAGTCCCTCCTCAGCCTCTTCCCTATAACACAGCTACTACTGTGATTCTTTTACTGGCCTGGATGAACTCTGAGCATCCCCGGCAAGAGGTACAGGGAGATTCTATGGTCAGCCCCAGAGCGGGTTCCATATACAGTTAATTTGTAATAAACACTTCTCCAGGCTGGTGGGACCAACAGACTCTGGTTATGGTAGTGCAACTATTTTGGAGTTGTCCTACAACTAGACAAATATAAATCTGAGAGAAATAAGATGAGTAACGGGTTTTTATCACTGAACTAGGGAAACTCAGACTGTGAAACCTTACTGTAGCTACATCATGCCCTACAATCATCCTCGAATTCTAAAAATACTTTCCTCTCACAGTGAAATTTGGTAAGGGTCAAGAAAAGTGATTTTCATTGTAAGCAAAACAGACATAAATATTTATAACCTAGAATTGTAAGGCACAGCACAAGATAGTAGATTCCTAAAAATGGGGAAATCTTAGAAGTGTACAGTGTATTCTCAGTAAGTCCATGGCTAAGGTTTGGTGGCACATATTCATGAGGGAACTCCATGAAGCTCATCACAGTATGACTGCTTTAAAGCTGAGAAATGAAGATACATTTGAGAAGTTGTGTCCTGGTAGGTGCAACTGAAGTTCCAACCCATCCAAGGCAGAGAAAACTCTCTTATCACTCAAAATCAATATGCTTAAAGAAAACAGCATAACAGACTCCCCACAAAACATCATTCAAAATACCCAGCATACAATAAAAAGCTAAATAAATTTTTCCATGTACTTTGAACATGGAAAAGAAGGAAATGTGACCCATAAACAAATGAAAACAAGCCATATGGTATATACATGCCAGAATTACCACACAAGAATGTCAATGTATAGATGTTATTAATATATCCAAATACTTAAAGGAATAATAATAAGTGAATATAAACTACAAAAGCAGAATTTCTAGAAGTGAAAGATCAGAAATGAAATTTTACTAATTGGAATTTATATCATTGGTGACACAAAAGGAAAGTTTAGTAGAGACATATTAATGAGGTGAAGCTGAAAAACTCCAAATAGAAGATTTCAGATAAGAACACACATATAATGGGTGGGAATTTAGCTCAGTAGTACAACATTTGCCAAGCAGGTGTAAGGCCCTGGGTTCAATCCACAGCACTTCAAGAAAAGTTTTTTAAAAATTAGATACAATGACAGCAAAATGCATATATATACATTTACTGAAGGTTCTGGAACACAGAGACTTTTAAGAAAAGACACCAGTAGTAAATGATTATTTCATTTCTGTGACTTTGTCTTGACAGCAGGCACCAGAGGAAAAAAAAATTGGCTGACTAAATTTTGTCTATAGAACATCAGTCTCCCTGGCTTGAAGAAAAAGTGAAAAAAATCAGGTGTTATACTGCCCACACAGAAGCTTAAAAGAAAGAGAATAAATTCCAGAAAAGGAAGACCAAAGAAGGAGGACCCTAAACTCTCAATATGAGTTCTATCCTAACTCAGAATAGCTCTTGAATTAGACATATGCAGACAAAACTCCAAAACCTGAAAAAAATACCAAAAAATAATTGAACCCCAGTAGTTAATATAAAAACATTTTGAGAGAAAGAGAAGCTATATATTTAGCTCCAGCAAACTTTGAATTTAAAAAAATGCGTAACCATGGAATACATGGAAATGTCAAACTGAAATACCCTATACAGATGTCTTAAACAACAAAAATGTCATTTTTCTTAAAAAAACAGAGGACAAGAAGGCAAAACAGGTCCTGTCTGGGGGGTTGGTACCAGTGGGAGTGGGGAGAACATAAGGAAAGAGTGTAGGTGGGTGAAAATGGTGGAAATATTATATGTATGCATGTATGTAAATGGAAAAATTAGTTCTGTTGAAATGTTCTAGGAAGGGTAGAGGAGGAAAAAAGAGAATTTAAAAATGCATTACCAAATAAAGAATATGAAAACACAAATATGTAGACAAATAACATAAAAATGAAGAGATTATCACATAACTAATGTGACAAGTGAGTGTATCCTAATAAAAGACTTCCAGAAGAGTATTAGGTGTTGCCAAAACCAAACAAACTTAGGCCTGAAAAACACTGATTGAATTTAATAATATGGAGGTCATTTATGGCAGTGAGGAAAACAGTGTCACTGGAATGGAAGGTAATTTTCAATGGGTTGATGAACAAGGAAATATTCATAGCTATATCCAACTTATTTGTCAATAAATTTTGAATATAATGGCATTGATAAAGTAAGTTTGAGTGAGAAGGGACAGTTTATAATAAGTATATTTTACTATGTAAAAAAATTGAACATGTACAAATGCTGATAGAAAGGAGCCAGAAGGGAAAGAATGGATGAAAATTATGAAGCAATAAGGAATTATCATGTTAGGAAGACCCTTGAAAAAGTGAGAAGGGAGCCATGACAGAGGTAAAAATGTTTACTTTAGATAAAAGGACAGTCCATTTTTCACAACAACAGACATTAAAAAGAATTGTGTGAATGTTGCTAAGTAACCTATAGGGAGGAAATTGAGAGTTTCCTTCTGATACTCTTATTTTTCTCTGTCAAGCAGAAGGCCAGAGAACCTGAGAAAAGAAGATGGTGGAGAGTTGCAACTTTGAGAAGGATTCAGGGTTGGAAGAATCATTGTGGCACACAGTGAAGCAAGTTAAGTTAGGTTGAAAAGCAGGAATGTTGCATAAATAAAATTGAGAACACCTTTGGGCTTAACAGAAATGATACCAAAATATTTGGGATGGCTAGTAATAATAACAACCTGCTGAGCTGCATTGGCTTTTCTGGCAGGGAGCCATATTCCAAGGCAAAGAGATTGAGTTGGACATTTTAAAAGTTAGCAAAACAGAAGGGAGAGGGGTGAGGGAGATGTGGGTATAAGATACTGTTTTATTGCTAAGAGTAATAAAACATAACCTATAAAGCAACAAATGAATAGCAGATTGCACAAGAAAAAAAGCAGAGTGTTGAGCTATCATACCATCTGTGAAAGTGTAAGCAGTATTACAACTAGAAAATTTAGTCAACAAATAGGAAGGAATGCAGAAGTGGTCAGTGGGTAAGATGCCTGAGTTATGATTATGCCATATCTGTAGAAGGCCAGGCAATCTGTAATTCTACTGCTATGTTCACTGACAATCTAAGATTCCTAAGGGAAGTGTAGACAAAAAACCACTCACCTTTGGAATAAAGTATTCTCTGAACTGAATGTCCTTCATCACCACATGGGGCAAATTATTTGGAATAAGGTCAATGTATCTCTGGATCTCATGTATCACTGCATCTGTGTAGGGCATGCAGCCCCTGTCCTGCATGCAGGGACTCCGTTGTCTTCCAATCACACGCTCAATCTCTTCCTGGATTTTAACTGACAAGGCAGGAATCAGAATTCATATGAAAGGGAAAATAAGTATTTTTTTTACAGGATGTCTCCATCATTATGAAGATAGATGGGGAGATGGGAAAATTATTTGTTGCCATCCCATAAGGAGGAAAAGGAGAGAGAGCTGCCATTCCTTGGCCAAATTGGAAGCTCACTGGGCATTTAAATATATGAACCCATAAAATACAATTATACTATACCATTTCTCAACTCTACTTCTCTGTTTTTGAATTTCTGCTGACAGACTCAGAGATCTAGAATCTTGACAAATCACTGAAGACCATGTAGTTTAACTACGTTGTTTATGCTAGCTTGTATTATAAATATGTAAATTCCAAGAAGGTAGTGAGTACCCAGTGCACTAAATGCTCGATAAACAAAACAATGGAATAGAGATATAGTTGATTCAGCACAGGAGAAAAAGAATAAAGATAACAGATTTTGTGACCGATATACTGCTCTATTCGCTACACTACTTTATAATTTCTCTAACTAGTTCTAGGTATTATCTATTATTTTGTGTGGCTTTTAAAGAAACCAGTGGAAAGAAATAAGTGTATTTCCTAAGGATACCAAGGTAATGTGTGGTCTTCCCCATATTATTCCCCTAGAAGAAATAAGTGAGTGAGTGATGAAGAGATAGGAGGCTGAGGTCACATAGCTACTTACTAGTGAAATCACAATCTAAATCCAATATTATTAAAATCCGTCACCCATTTTCAAAAGTGGCAGGCAATGTGTTATTGCTACTAATGTCAACTAGTATTTATCTACTAACTAAAGAAAATATGACAGTAATGGAGCAGCAAAAATTATGTAACTTGACAGCTGTGTGTGTGAAGTACACACTCATTTAATTTTAGCACTCAGGATGCTGAGGCAGGAGGATCACAAGTTGAGGTCAGCTGGGGCTACATAGGTCACCCCATGAAGAAGGAGGAGGAAGAAGAGAAGGAGCCACAGGGGAAGGAGGAGGTGCAAGAATTTAAAGAGGACAATAGAAGAAAAAGAAGAATTCTTAGGTTGAAGGTGAGTTTCTTTTAGAAGGCATTGACCATAAAAAAAATTGTCAGGAACTACTTATAAAATCAGGATATTTAATAGAATGGCACAGTATAGGATGACATGGGAAGGAAGAAAAGTAAAGTACACATAGATGCAGTGCAAGAAAAAAAAATCAGGAAGGAAAAATGAAAGTGAAAGTAACAGGCAAACATGGCACAACAAGAACTGATGGAATGTGTATAAAGTTTGAAGATTGATAAAATAATATGTACTGTTTCTACTCATAATGAACATTGGACTTTAAGAGTTAATGAGATCATTTTGCTAAGTGTGTTGTGTGAAACAACATCGAAGCACCACATTTCACCAAATGTGTACTATCAAAGGGACATTGAGGCTATGGTTCTTAAATTGTACCACTCAGGAGTAATCTCCCATTTATAATGGGAAGGCAGAAAGAACTTAAAGTGCAAATTTTGGATGCTGATTTCATGGTGATATCTTTTAGGAGGTTTACACCCAGTAAAATTGTTTTAATGACTCAAATCAGAATCATGATATACTAGTGAATGAAATGACCTATAGAGAGAACAAAATTCTTAAAAGAGGTGGAAAAAAAGAAAAGTAGTGTTTGTGAATAAATTTTTATTTACCAAAAAAGACAAATAAGTGAAGCCTGGTGATACACAGTTATAATTTCAGCACTCAGGAAACTGAAGCAGTTAGATTATGAGTTCGAGACCAGTTCAGGCTACACATTAAATTCAAAAACAGCCTGAGCTACAGAGACTCTGTCTTAAAACAACTAAAGCTAATAGTAGAGCACTTGCTTATCATGCACATTTTTTTACTATGAACTAATTCAAATTCATCCAATGGCAGGAAAATGTAATACTGACAGAAATTTTTCTTATACATTATCTAAGCAGATAAAGAATGGAACAGTTATCTGTGTTGTTTGTCTGTTTCTACCTGACTTTTAACTGTCCATCATCTGTGATCATACCTGAGACCTCTGGATGCTTCAACAAGAGCAAAAGCCCATATCTCATTGTGGTACTTGTTGTCTCTGTTCCCGCACTAAATATGTCCCATATGGAAATGACCAAGTTTTCCATGGTAAATTCAGACTGTTTATTGTTTTTTTCCTAGAAACAATGTGTAAGAATTACTTGGTTAAAAAAAAAGCCTCACAAGGAACATAAAACAATTCAATATAACAAAACCATTTGGTAAATTAAGTCAGACAATATAAAATGCCATTGCTGAAGGTAAAGTTAGATGAATATTAGACTCTTTATATAGTAAGAGTTACAAATATCCAACTCCTTTCTGATTCTATACCTTCTCATCTACTGTAGCAAGCCAGATCCTCTCTAATATTTTTCATACATACATTGTCTTAAGTTATTCATTGGTACTCATTGTCAACCTAGGTTTTATTGTCTACTCTATCATGTCTAAATTTCTCATCTGAGCACCCAGTTTGACACATCCCCCAAACCATTTTACAGTTCTCAACTCATCAGTCATCACACTCACCACTATGCCTCAAATAAAATGAAAATCAAAATTTCCACACACTTAAGAACTACAATTAATATTCCCTGGAAATATTTTATCCTCCCTCTTAATTGCAGCCAGAGTTTCTTTAAAATCATACTGGGTGCTCAGATGAGCTAGCATTTTTGCCTTTAATGCAGAGAAACTAAAGCAGATACCTTAAAAGCAACTGAGGCCAACAGGAAAAGGGGACCAGGAACTAGAGAAAAGGTTAGCTCAAAAAGAATTAACCTAGAAGGTAACACACACGCACAGGAAATCAATGTGAGTTAATGCCCTGCATAGCTATCCTTATCTCAACCAGCAAAAACCCTTGTTCCTTCCTATCATTGCTTATACTCTCTCTACAACAAAATTAGAAATAAGGGCAAAATAGTTTCTGCTAGGTATTGAGGGGGTGGGGGGGAGAGGGAGGTGGTGAAGTGGGTGGTAAGGGAGGGGTGGGTGCAGGGGGTAGAAATGACCCAAGCCTTGTATGCACATATGAATAATAAAAGAAAAAAAAATAAACATGATAGAGTAGACAACAGATCCTAGGTTGACAATGAGTACCAATGAATAACTTAATACAATGTATGTATAAAAAATATTAGAGAGGATCTGGCTTGCTACAGTGGATGAGAAACAGAAACCCAATAAAAATATAGAAATTCTGAAAAAGAATCCATCTGAAATGAACAGCTCAATACCCCTAGCTAGAGCAATAAGACAAGAGCAAGAAATAAAAGGGATTCAAATAGGGAAGGAAACTCAAAAGTCTCAGCATCTAAGAGAAAGAATGAACAAATGGGACTGCATCACACTTAAGAGCTCTGCACAACAAAAGAAACAGTCACTAGACTCAAGAGACAGCCCACAAAATGGGAGAAAATCTTTGCCAGCTACTCATCCAATAAAGGACTAATATCCAGAATCTATAGGGAAACTCATAAAACTTAACCCTCAAAGAATCAACACCACAATGAAGAAATGGGCACATGAATTAAACAGGGAATTTTCAAAGGAAAAGATACAAATGGCCAGCAAATACATGAAATGTTCAACAACCCTGGTTATAAAAGAGATGCAAATCAAAACTACACTCAGATTTCATCTCACCCCAGTTAGAATGGCCATAATCAAGTGTAATAACAACAACAAATGCTGGCAAGGATGCAGTAAAATAGGAACTTTTATACCCTGCTGATGGGAATGCAAATTAGTATAACCACTATGGAAAGCAGTATGAAGATTCCTCTAAAAACTAAAGATAAAAGTGCCATATGATCCAGTGATACTGCTCCTAGGCATCTAGGAAAGGAAAGTAAGTTAGGATAAAATAGAGACACCTGTACACCGACGTTCATCACAGCAGTATTCACAATAGAATGGATCAAGAAATTGTGCTATATGTATACAATGGAGTATTACTCAGCCACAAGGAATAATGACATGTGGTTTGAAGGTAAATGGATGCAATTGGAGGACATGTTAAGTGAAGTAAGCCAGGCTCAGAAACACAAAGGCCACGTGTTTTTTCTCATATGTGGAAGATAGATCCAAAAGATAAACATATACACAAAAACAAGCATGATCATATGCAAACTCATATGTAGAATGTTTGTAGTAGTAGAACTACTCTATGAACTCAGGGAAAGAGGAAAAGGAAAAGAGAATGATAACACATCAGTAATGTTGTAAAACCTAACATTTGTGAAGGTAGAGGATATAAGGATGTTTATTGAAAGCTGTTGAAAAGGGGGAGGTGGGAGGTAAAGGATTAAGGAGCACAATGGGAGGGATTAAGTGAACCAAAATAAAGTATACTTTCAGTGGGGATACATAGAGAAACCCTTTGAACCCCAACTTAAATATTAATAATGAAAGATGGGACTATAAAATAGGTATGGGGGGTAACTAGTAGGAGGGGGTGGGTGAATGAAGGACTAAGATGAGGGTATATGGTTGATGGACTTCACACACTCATATGAAATAGAACAAAGAAACCCCTTGCAATTGCTTTAAGTGGGTCAGGAAAGAGGTTGAGGGGAAGAGAGGATGGGGGTGAGCTAATTGATGTACAATATAAGCCTAATCAGAATTGTCACTATGAATCCCCCTCTGTATAATGAATATATCCTAATGAAAAAAATTATAAAAATAAAAGAATATATTTTAAGAATGGAACATGTGTTTAAATACACTCTTAGGGACTAGCCTAGAAAACTTGAGGTCCTGAATTCACCCCAGTGCTGCCAAAAAAAAAACTGAAGCATAAATACACTGTTTTCACTATGAAAAACAAAGGTAATCCATGAATCACATCAACAAGAACATAAGGTAGCAAGTCAGGGTCTCATTATACCTTTTCCATTTTGATCAGGAAATAGTCAATAAAGTCCCGAGGGTTATTGAGGTCCAGAGTTTCTTGATGTTCTTTTATTTTCTCCAAAATAAACTTCTTTTGGTCAGCAAAGTTTTTAAAGAACTCATTATGACTTCCTGGGAGATAATGTAAAATAGGGAAGGCATTGTAGAGCTGAAAGAAGAAAGAATCTTCATGTACTTATTTACTGAATATTTACAGACCTTTATTAGGTATCAGATACTTTGCTATATACTAAGTAAAGATGGATAGGACACCTTCTGAGCTAACAATTGCTTAGAGTTTGAAGGTCAGGGCATTGATAAAGTGATCAGAGTCACCATTTGCACATTTTACAAAGCAACTTCAGCACCACTTACATTGTTTTCCCAACCACAACTCTCTAAAGGAATTTAGCCTACTGAGACCTCTCTTCTGAGAACATTGAGATTCAGAATGGCTCATCTGCAATTCCAAAACACCAAAATAGTATCAGTAATAACAGCCAGTCTTCTTCCACAAATTTCTCCAGGAAGTCACCTCTCTGACACTGTGTTTGTAACAACAAATCAGTGCATCACAATGATTAAGGAAGTGCCTAAATCACATAATATATCTGTGTTTAGGAATTTGCTGCTCTCAGGAATGTGCACATTTACTTGACTTATTGGTCTTTGCTGATCCCAGAGTTCACTGACCCTACTTTAGGCAGTACCTTTAATAGCCACAAAAGAAGCTATTCATACTGGTAGCTTGAGTAAAAATAGATACAGAATCAAGAAACTTAAATTCTATGTCTAGCTCACTGACTGAGTTGATAAACTACTTTGAAAAAATGTGCTTACTACCTCTGGGGTTCAGTATCATGTTCCAAAAAATGAGAGGCAACTTATTTATTGCCTAGGGTCCTCCCCTAGGGGACTACATCATGACATTGCAATATACACATATTGTAGTTGTTGATGATCATAAAACATAGGTTAGCATGTTTTGACAATGCACTATAATAATAAACACATTGTATATCATCAAACCCTACAACTGTAATAGAAGAAAATCAGATCCTAAATGGAGTTTCCTTGTGACATTTCCATGTATATATGTATTATAATCCAAATTGGTTCATCTCCTCTATTTTTCCTCCTTCTACCTTAGTCCCCTTCTTATAGTGGTTTCAACAGGTTTAAAAATTAAACAGATTGTCTTTTTTTTTTTTTTTTTTTTTACAAAATCAGAGAACAGGAGGGCTGAACAGGTCTCGGGGGAGTGGGTGATGCCAGGGAGAGTGGGGGGGATGTAGAAGGTAAATATAGTATAAATACTGTGTACACATGTATGTAAATGGAAAAATGATACCTGTTGAAACTAGTCCAAGAATGGAGGAGAGAAGGATAAAGGAGAATCATAAAAGGAGTGGATTACATTGTAAAAACTTTTGTAAATGCCACAATGTACCACCACCACACACAACAATTTTTAAAAAAGAAAATCAGTTTCTCAAAAAATGACTTACTATAAAGAAAAAGCACATTGATGTTATAGTTCTCTTCCTATTCTATCTTATTCCCATTTGTAAACCTCATTTGAAACATTAAAGTGATTTGATAACCCAAAAGAGTTACAAATTCTGTTTTGATAAACATCACTTTGGTGAAGTAATTAGGTAGGAACGCACAATAAATTAGCTAGAAAATTATTTTATAACCAAGAATAATCCTAAAAGCATGAAATCTTTGGCTTCTCAAATTTTTAGTTCATTTTCAAAATAAATAATTTTTGTCAGCCATGTTGGCTTGCACCTTTAATCTCAGCACTGGTCATGGTAAAGGCAGGAGGATCAGGAGATCCAGGTCATCCTGGGCTACAATGCATGATCCTGTCTCGAAGAAAAAAAATTAAATTTAGATGCTACACAGCTGACCAATACACTATTGGTCTTCCATTATCTGTGCTGTAGATGAAACCTTTCACTGGATCTGGATCTGCTTAACCAGTTGAAAGTGGTCTTCAAAATTTTCATTTGATTTCCTACCCTGTTCTATGTCTTAAACACTAACTACAAGGGAGTTGTAGCAGTGTTGTTAGTGAAGCTACATTATCTTGTATCTCCCTTTACTAGATTAGCCCGATGTTGTAAATTGCCCTTTATAGAGCTATTGTTTTTTTCCATTTGCCCAGAGTTTCAAAATCTAAGTAAAGTTGCATGTATTCATTTATTTATTTATTCGTATGCTTACTTTCTTGCTTACTTAGTTTTTTTATCTTTTTTCATTGAGATGAGGGGTCTTGCTATGTACCCCTTCTGGCCTCTGACTCAACCTCAAAAGTAATTGGGTACAATGCCGGCTGTAAATCCAGCTTTAAATGACAGAAATTTAAACTGTCATAGTCAGATATACCAGGAAAAGGGACAGGAAAATCATTGGACCTAATAGTTCCTAATCAGTAATCTTTCTTCAGTTTTCAGAATCAAGCATATCTGATGATCTTAAGATAATGTTAATGTGTAGATCAAGGACTTTCTAATACTGTTCTTTAATTAAAACCAGAATGATATTTAACTTGCAAGAAAGAAAATATGTTTCACTACAGAATTACAGGGACTACTCTAGAAGACAAAAGTCAGTTTTTATCCCATGCATGTTTCATCAAAAAAAAAAAAGAAAGAAAGAAAGAAAAGAAAACCTCCTCCAAGTAATGTAAATGCACAATTTAGCACACAACCTTCTTAGCTATTACACCACTCCCCTCCTTTCTCCCTGTAAAAGCCCTTTCATATACTTCAGTTCCCTAAAAATGGTATCTTTTATTCAAGTATGACAGCTTCTTGCCATCTTCTCCTTGTGCTAGCATTGAATAAACTTAATTTCCTTCTCACCAACTCTCATCAACCAAGTATTAGATTTTGAGCTATCAGCAGACAGATTTGGAGCCAGTAACAATTTCTGATTCAAAAAGAACTGGACCTTACCTGTATCCAAGGACTGCTTACAATGTTTGCATTTTCCTTGAAATATTTAGTCAAGGTGTGAAATTTCTGATCACTGTAGTCAAAACGATTCTGAAAAATGATGGAGGAGATCACATTGCATGGAACACAGGACAGAAGAAAGCTAGGATCACAGGGAGATCCTATAGAACAATGGAAGTTAGAAATTAATACACAACTCTCAGATGAATCTTAAATTTACTATTTAAATACTTGGGAAGGATAAACTACATAGACATGCCCTTATTGCTAAAAACACTGCACATCTAAAAGTTTATTGTATTACTCCCCTCAAAAAAGTGTCTAATTTACTGTAGCTTGTTAATTTCTCTCCAAATATTTTTCTGTTTTCATTATGTTCCAAATATCCTAATTCACAAAAGGAAACACATGAATAGAGGTCATTTTAAATTGTCTTTAAATGTGTGCAATTTAGATCTCAGTATAGACACTTCTTCATGGAGCTCATAGAAATCTTAGCAACATAATTTTTAAAAATGAAAAGACTGGGAAACTTGAAATTTTATTAGCAAAACAGTTGAAGTTATCAGTTTCGTTTTTCTTATACAACAGAAAAATAGTAAGAAAAAGTGGATTTGTATTTAGATATTTGAAAAACATATTGTAGTTTTGTAACAGGTTTCCTATGTGAAGTAAAGGGCTTGAATCTATTTTTGGAAGTTTGACTGCTGGCATCTTTTAAACCTCACCATTTATTCTTTCCCTTCCACCCAGATGTGGACAAGTGGATTAAAAAGCCCAAGTGCTAAGCTAGGAGTGGTGGCTCACTCCTGTAATTGTATCTAGTCATGAGACAGTGATCAGGAGGCTCCAACTTCAAGGACTGGATGGGTAAAAAGTTCACATGACCTCATCTCTGCCACCTGTGGTGGTGTGCACCTGTTATTCCAAATACTCGGGAAATGTAAATAGAAGGATCCTGATCCAGGCTGCCCCAGGCATAAATGCAAGATCCTATTCAAAAGACACCTTAAAAAAGGCTAGGGTCATGGCTCAAGTGCTAAAACACCTGCTTAACAAGTGCAAGTCCCTGAGATCAAACCCCAGTACCACCAAAAATAAATTTAAATTTAAAAAAACCACAAGTGCTCCTTTCTTCACCACAAGCAGGAAGTTTACTCCATGAAATCCTCATCTGCACAAAGAACCTTCATCCTGGCCCCACCTTCCTTATCATCAAAAAACCTCAAGCCAGTAGTGCTGCTCTGCTCTCTCACCCAATTTTTAGACTTGCTTGGGAGTCAGCCTGTTATCCAGAAAACATCACTGTGTGAGTTAGAACTCTTCCTATCTTATTGGTTTGTGTGGAATCATCAGTCTCAACTTCTGCACCCTGTTTCTGAGCAGTAACCATCACTTCACTGTAACTCCAGAAGGAAACAATTAGCTAAATCAAAAAGTTTCATTTACAAGGAAACAGTTTCATTCATGAAAGAAACTACCAACAGTTGGCTACAGAGTGATAATATGAGTATAGGCAACTGTGTAAGGACTTCACAGCAAAGGGGAATGAAGCAGAGTGCCATGAAAATAGGTTGGTAAACTGAGAGAAGGTCATAGCCACTATGGGAAAGTTGAGTTGGGTTACAGTAAGGTCTACTTACTTGCACCTACCTGTCCAAATTATAGGTGCTAATTGAATTTTCATGTTAAAATAAAGAAGATATTGATCCAAAATATTTAAGAATTTTTAGTGATAAAGTAAATCAACTCCACCAGAGAAACGATTATAATAAGAAAAGAAGCTGATACAGAAATTAGGGAAAAGACAAGTTTGAGCATTTTAAAGTATGGCAAATGTCTATAAATATCCAATGAAATTCTACTTAGAATGTCCTTGTGCTCTTTCTTGTTCACCATCCAAATGTATTAGGTTAGATTAATGGACCTGAATGTATTTTGTGATTGAAGCTACAACATACCAAAGAATAAAACACAGAAAATCACATTACTGAAAACAGTTTGGAGAATGTTAACTTTTATGTATTGTGAACTATCGCTCCAAGAAGCATTCAAATGAACATTTCTACCATCAGGTTTGGGATGTAGAAGACCTTTAATTAAAAGCCTCCATGATCATAGCAGTCTTATTAAAAAGTCTTCTATTTTGCATGGTAAAATTTCTTCCTTTTCCTTTGACACTAGAAACAATTTTGCTGCCACCTCTTGTAAATGCTGTACTTAAGATTACTTTTTTTAAAAATAAAATAATGAATAGAATCACATTTTTGAACTATGATTCAAAATATTTTCCCTTAAGAAACATTAAGCTGTTTCCTTGTTTTAAAATATTTATACATAAATTAAGTTTACAAAATCACTTCCATATAATATGTGTTAATCTTCTGTCATTGCTTTACCAATTTTATCCTAAGAAAGTAGCCTGAGATCTGCAATCATTTGTATGGATTTCATTTTTATATTAATGGCATCAAAGATTAGAAAAAAAAATCTGACTAAGGGTGGAAGAATGATTATATAAAATTTGACATCAAAAATAATGGAACAAAGTACTATTCTATTAATAATGTTCTTGACAAACTTTCAAATGTCAAATACATTTTGATAATCAATCAATAAGGTATATTTAAAATAAGTTTAATGTATATTTAAAATAATATACACAGAATATAAATCATGTTCTTGGCCCTTATCTGCCAAATCTCTGAATCATTTTTAAGTAATATGGATTGTCCACATAATGTTCCTTAACATCCTTGCTCCATCTTTACAAAGTTAGTCTAAGGATGAAACCAGATTATGCAGATATTTTTAATAATTGAATTTTATTTTAGTAGCAGCAAAGAAAATGGAAATACCATGTGTGGACAATTGAATAATATTGGCTAAAAAACATAAAACAATTCACCATAGAAATAAAATAATGTTAACAATTTTCCTTAAAATGTTTAAATATTGGTGTTCTAAACCTACATGTATTTTGTGATCCTGAAATTACACCTTCCTGCATGGTCTCCTGCCCAATCTATCTCCTACCCTAACCTGCAGTCTACACGTGCATATACACATCTATGCATTTTGAGATTTGTGCTTGGGAGCTCCTTGACTTCACATCCACAGTCTTCTATATGAGATAAATTTCACCCTACATATTGGAAGAATTTGGTGGCCCCCTTTATTGATTTTCAAGAATTTGTTTTCCAAGTTGATTTGGCCAAGACTATTGGCTAAATACCAACATCCATGGCCTTCTTCCTGTATATATCTCTAATGGCATTTGCTGGCTTCTCTAGAAATTAGGTGTTCCCTTGTTACTAAGAATGTGAGAGAAATTTTTTCTTGGAGAGTTTTTTTTATTGTTGTGCTGAGTGGGCGTACTTTGTAGAAGTAACAAAGTTTCTTACAATATATCAAATATATCATACTTAAATTCACCCCCTCCAGAGAGAAATTTTCTGTGTCACTTCTTTCCTTGGTCTTTTCTCCTTCTACTATCACACAAAGAGGGTGACTCATCCCTTAGAAGATATTGATAGCCAAATTATGAAGACATCAAATGCCTGTCAATCTGATTTCCTAAAAAGAATGTTATGCCAACCACTTCACTTCTTATTGCTATTATGGGAGCAAAAAGTAATCTGCTGTACTTGAGATTCCATAGCCTTTTTAAAAAATCCATTTTAATGGCATTTAGTATACCCTAAATATTGTTGCTAATTATGTAAGTAAATAAATACCATTGGTTTTTTTTAAGGCTTCCACCAGACACAAAGTTTCCTCTTGAATTCGGTCTTCTATAGTTTTCTTCCCCATCCCCATATTTCGCAAAGTCATGAGGGAGAAACGTCGGATTTGCTTCCATCTTTCTCCATTGCTGAAAATAATACCTATAATGACAAAAAAAATGAATATCCTTCATTGTCATGATTTACAGCTGAGCACACACATCTCAAGAACTGATCCTGACACTTCAGCAGGGATATAAAAATATAATTGTGTCAGCTTCAGGATTCCACTGAACCCACCTCACCTTCCACCTCTCTTAACCCAATCTAGTATTTTACTACTGAGACTCTTGACTGCATATATTACAAAGCTCCTTTTCACCAATTAGCTCCTTAAACCTCAGAGTAATTCCATGAACCAAGTGGCATCCACCTCTATTTTACTGACAAGAATGTTAAATATCATCCTTGGAAAGAGGATCTTCAAATGATCCTCATTTGGAAGCAATGCTAGCTTTATGATCATACAGCTAATATCCTGGTAAGTCTAAGTCATGATTCAATTTTCTGATTATATTTGAGTTTTAAACTAATCGTCAGGAGGAGGCAATTCTCAAGAGCAAAGTGCTCACTTACTGTGTGCAGGGCCCTGAGTTGTTCAACACCCAGCACTGAGAGAGCATGAGAGAGAGAGAGAGAAAATTCAAAGGAATCTTGGGACAATATACTCCTCAAAGCATATAGATATTGAAAGATAGCGCATTACATTTTTAACACCCTGCCCTATTTGTTTTAACACTTTCAAAAAATATCACCTTCACACCAAGGAAGATCAACATTAGATTTCCAAGGGCAAGACAAAACCTGGGGGAAAATAAGTTCATAGGAAACTGTCCAGGATGCATCTTAGAGAAAAATGTGGAGAATAAAAGGAACCCTTATGTCCACATTCCAGAACCCAGTGATCCACCAGAAGATTGGCAACTTAAAGCCAGTTACAAAAATAAACAGTTCAAATACAAATGGTCCTCAACTTAAATGGTGTTTCAGCTTCTGATTTTCTTTTTACTTTGCAATAGTGCAAAATGGTCCTATATATTCAATTCAATACAATTCAATACAAATTTTGAATTTTCATCCTTTCCCAGGTTGGCATGTAGTACAATATTCTTTCTTAATCCTAGGCAGTTCCAGTGAGTCAAGGCTCCAGTCAGTCATGCAATCATAAAGTAATCAACATTCTGCAATGCACCATTTTGGAAGGCTATGATGTTAGGGAGGCTAAGTGTATTAAATACATTTTCATGTTAGAATATTTTCAACTTAGATATTTTTATAGGGATGTAATCACATTGTAAATTGAGGAGAATCTGCACTTAATTTTGAAAATCTTTTCTAATATTAATCCAGTGTATAATTACTGTGTTTCTTCATGATCTTCTTTTCAGAGCACAGCTGTGCTTTATGCTTTACATTCTATTGGTTCAAATATTTATTTCTTAGGTGCTTTTAAATGAATAGGTATTGAAGTTAGCAACTCTGGAAATATTCCAAACATATATTGGTTCCCATACTATACACACTTCTTAAATAGTCTCTTGGATCGATGCTTCAGGCCACTAAGCAAAATATTCTGTGAATTTTCCCCTTGTTCTCTTAGTCTCTTCCTCATTATCTTAAAAAGATGTAATTTTTAAATGAATGACTTTTTTTTAGTGGTTCTGGGGTTTGAAATCAGAGCCTCTTGCTTTCTAGGCATCTGCACTACAACTTGAGCCATGATCCCACTCTTCCATGTATTATTTTTCAGTTAGTGTCTCATGATTTCACCCTGGGCTGGTCTGAGATCGCAATTCTCCTACCTATGCTTCCTGTGTCCCTGGGATGACAGTGTGCACCAACACACTTATTGAGAGAGATAGGTTTCATAACTGCTTCCTGAGTAGCTTGGGTTACAGGAGTAGGTTATCCTTCCATTCCCTCTAAAAAGAGTGTCTTAATCACAAGTTCACAGTATAGTAGTGCCTCCATGGTTTACTGTCATTAAATCTAATATTTAATGGGGACAGGGACATTCGTAGATTTTAAATTTAATTTAATGACGTAAAAAATGTATTCATTAGTGATTACTAGAGATTAGATGGATAATGGATGGTAAAGAAAGTGAGGATACATTTCATCAGTGCACACTGTACGTATGCATAGAAATACCATATAGAAGTTCATTAGTATGTACAACACTTGTTAGTAAAAATGTAACACAATTTTAAAAATGTATTATTGGGCTTAGCTTGGAATTGTAGAAAGTATGTTACAACTACATCTCTAAATGGTCTAATTTCTCTCTTTTTTTTTTTTTGCATAGTTGAAATCTTTGAAATTTATAAATCCATGGACATTCCCCTAAAAAAGAAGCATACCTAATCCTTGTAAGACTTTCTCAATCAATGGGAAACTCCCTCTGCCAGAAAACTCCTCTGCCCGGTCAATCAGGGCTTCCTTGACTGCTTCATATCCATGCAACACCACAGTGGGCTTCATGCCAAAATACAGAGTGAACACAGGGCCATACTCTTGTGCTAGCTGGAAAATGAGCAAGAAATGCAAGAAAAGTGAGGATTTCAAAACCAAAATGTTGATAAGTGAAGAAAAAAGTGATTTAATCTTACTGGAGAGACATTTTTATATTCATCTAGCCATTATAAAAGATTTCAACTTATAGAAACAACAATTTAATAAGAAAATACATAAAAAGAGTGATTATCATATTATCTTATATATAATTATATTAATTTATAATTATATTTCTTATAATATTGAAATTACTATTATTCTTATGCAGGTCCTTCTATGTGATAGAGACTACATTGTGCAATTAACCATATTAATGTACTAGCATTTCCTATTGAATCTATAATCACTTCAGGAAGGAAACTGCTTATTCTTACAATAAATGATGTCTTTCTCTGCCTGTTTAAGGGAAATCCCTCCCACTTACCCTATGTGTAGAATAACAATCATCCCTCTTTATCCTTCTCCATATAATCCTTTTAGCACCAACAACCTCTAAGTTTTAATAATACATTAGAACATGGCAAGCTGAACATAGTATATGTCTGCTCTTCAAACTGCAAGTTCTATCATGCTACCATGTTTAATTTTCATTGAATATTAAAATCCCCTATAAGCACCTAATATAGTGCTTAATGTAAAATAGGCATTTAATTATTGTTGAATGCATGATATACTCAAGTAAATTGTGAAAAAACATTATTATTTACATCTTAAGAAATCTATATTAAAGTTTGGAGAAATTGACAACATGTACAAAACTGTGGATTAGCAAATGGGTAAGCTGAGATGCTGGTACCATCTTCTTTACCTAGAACTCAAAGCACAGCTTCCATGGGCAGTGCTCTGGCAATCAGCTATGTCAGGGAAAAGGCAGATTTTGATCATTCCTAAGGTTTCAGAGAGCTACTGCTGTGTAAATACACTGGAGTATAGAATCATTCATTTAGCAAATATAACTGCCAAATCTCTGAAGCATTATTATGTCTTTGACTGCAATCAATGTGTGTTCTAGAAATATTTACCATTGAAAATCAGGAAGTCAATGGCCTTTTTAAAAACTGAAAACAGTTTTATTTCTATTAGAGTTCATCAAAGAATAAGTATTGTACTAAAAAAGGAACCTATTTCACAATGTAGATAGAGAATTTCTGATTTGACAATTTCAACAATGATCAATCTCATGGGTCTTGTTTCCTTATATTTCTCTATAAAACAGAAACATATGGAATGGGTTTGCTAGAAAAAAAATACCTTAAAAAAACCTCATTTTTCATATGGGCCTGAAAATGCCTGATAGGAAAAAAAATAAAGGACTAAACTTGGCATCTCTGCCTTCATTTTTTAATGTTACTTTGTCTTAAACTGTGAGTGAGATTTCTGTTCAACTCTTCATGTAGGCATTTTGAAGATAGCTGAGGTGTTTTCAAGATTTATAGATACACTTAAACTTCCTATTTCAAATCCTCTGGAATAAGACTTATATGTCTTCAGTCATTGCCCTACACCTTCCAAGAACAATGTAGCCTTGCAGACATGATGAAGATGGCCTCTGAACAGGAACAAATATCTCATGGGAACCAAACCACCCCCATTTGGTGATACAGGACTGATAGACAAGACATCTTGTAAAGCAAATGGAGATTACACTTGTTCAGCAGCAACTTTCTTAAAAGCAAATGGAGACAATATCGTTGACACCACATGAAGATTTCCCCCAGCTACCAAGTATCAAAAAGATCTGTGCTATGCAAACCTTTCAGTTGTTATCATTTTACTTTCCCTTGTATATAACCTCAACACAGTTACTTTTACCTCAAAGACAGCACTTAGACTGTCCTTCACAATGAAATTAAAATGTCTTTTCTGTTTTATTGAGTTTACCTGTTTTCCTTTTGGGATGGGTAGATGAATCTAATCAGTTGGGACACCTATATCTGGGTTTCTGATCTCAAACTCTAGTAACATTAACATTCTAAAATCACTTTTGGTGGCCAATGGACACTTCCCATTAAAGCCATCTCTTTAAAACGTATTATATGGCCCATACACTACTGAGCTTTAAGGCTGTGTTATACATTCATTGCAAACAACTGAAAGAAAATTAGTCATACTTACTGTGCTTAAGGATTTTTTTATATCCTTATTATATAACTGTAGAATATTTCCAACAATTGGGAAAGGAGTTGGACCAGGTGGGAGCTTCCCTTTTACATAGCTTTTGTTCCACAGAGAAAGAAGAATCAAACAAGAAAGACAAATCACCAGGAAGATGAAGAGATCCATTGATACACTTTGTGTAAGTGCAATTGAAAACTCTGACTCCAGGGATTCTATAAATATTGTGCACTATGATCACCAAACAGTACAAAGTCTTCTTGGAACTTTGGGTAAACAGAGTTTGCACAAAGATACCCTTTAACTTAATGATAGAAATTAAAACAAATATACATTTCCTACTGATAAGTTCCAATTTGCCTGTCATTCAAACTAAAACAACTCCCTAATTCAGAGATGGTATGGCTATACTTCAACAATAAAGTTGAAAACAATCAAAAATTCAAAGAACTAGTTACAGTTCATGAACTTGAAAAACTCCTTAGAATGATTATTCCTTCTATCAAAATTCATCATCATATAAATGAAAAAAGAAGTATTCTCTTAGTGCCTTTTTCCAGAAGATGCTGGAGGAAAGTCCAGGACAGAGGAATTAGGGGATAGGAAGCCAGTCTTTTTTTTACAGAAATTGGAAATACCCCAATGCCTGAGACCTGAGTGGGTATTCTGCATGAGCCTGACTAAGAGCAGCGGGGAATGAGAAATAAGATACACACAGACATATAAACATAAAACAGAAAATCTGGGGATGGCAGAGCTGCACGTTCCTGATGGGAAATGTGAGTGGCTACCTGAGCCAGAGTGTTCATTTTTCCTGAGGAAAAGACTCAGGTAAAAATCAAGCTTTAACAATTCTTGATGCAAGGTAAAAGGAATGAGGTTTGGTGGGCTAACTTTCCTAAGGATCATGAAGCTTAATTACAACACATCAGTTCTGGAATCATCAAGGCATGTAGGACACCTTATC